ACTCCTAGAACATCCACTTGAAATAACACGATTTTGGGCGTTGTTGGAAACTTTTCTTCGGTCAAGACTGTGACCAATCGGTCGTTAGAAGGAGGCATTATTCTAGTTCTCTCTGATGCTTTCTTCAAACTCGTATTGGTGAATATCACCTTTATGCTTGACGATCTCAAAGTCCTGTACAAAATACGATTGACGATTAATGATTGAAAGTGTGATGAAATGAAGGTGATCATGACAGGGCTGTTCACTTCCGGAGTCGGTGTCTTGCATATTTCATTTGTAGATTTGCCTCTCCCTTTAACAACAGCACTTATTTTTGGCTTCACTGCTTCGCCTCGACCATTTTAGTGTTAATAAGTAGCGGGCAGGATGATTTTCTCTCACTTGAATATTAGGTTAGTCATTAAAGAGCTTTTCTTAGCTAGCCTTACCTTCACATTCATAACTTCGGCTTTTAGAATGCTCCCTCATCTCACGAATCCCATCTCTTCCGCGGTGTGGCCATGTTCCTCCTTGCTCAAGTTTTCACCACTCTTCACCAACCCGAACTCATTCGTGTTCTCACTGAGGCTATTCTAATTGGTGATCCCACCCTACTCCTACATACCAATTCTTCTCCGTCTCCCACTACAAGTGAGACAGAAGATAGGGAGGAGGAGAAAGTGAGGGAGACTGAATCGGACACTTCAGCAGCCGAATGCGCAGATGTGCTAGCCTACTTGCGGGCTGCTCACCACGGGAAACGTGCGATTAAATCCACTTCTCCCGGCAGTCGTCTACAAGCTTTTCTCAAAACAGTTGCCGCTTGTGGAGCCATGGATCCTCGCCGTGGCGTTTGTGGTGGGTGGCCAATTTCTCCCAGCTTGGATGACGACATTGCCAGGTGTTCGGAGCGCATTCGAAGCCACTATGTGAGTTGTCCCTTTCTAAAAGTGTTGTTTATGGAAGTGGTTAGTCATTAGGTGAGAGCGGTGGTAAGTGTGAACTGTTAAGGCCATAAGAAAGTAGATGGAAATTGAATTTGTTCGGAGGCATGCAAACAACGCCCGTAGAGCAGCTGTGCTGTCCCGCTTCTGTGGGTGGTGCGTTGACTCACGTTTTTACGTCCATACTCGATGATGATGAGCATATATAAGGAATCGTGTGCAGGCACTAACCGGCTACTTCCGTAACTGCCACCAATGTCGGATAGTCTGGTACTGACTTAGTTCTTTCCATTTCGTCCCTTGGTAGAATGGCGGAGCAAGTGAGAGCAGCGGGTCTTTGAATTCGACCACATCTCAATCCTCGTCCGGTAAGAAAGTAATTTTCCTATACAATATTGCCAAATGCCTCAGTATTAGGAATGAGTGTATCCACTAGCCTTTTTGAATGTCCTTCACTGATTCACTTTTCCACCCACCCTGTACTCGAACCCATACATGCATCTACGAACACCTATTGGGAGGTCACGAACCTCGAGGCTATTCTTCTGCTTTGCGTCTTTAGATTTCACTACACAGATAGCCGTACCGCCGACGAGTGTATCTCCACCCACCCCTCGTCAAAGTCGCAGTCAGCCCTCTTCGTCAAAGCTGGCAGTACAGAGCAACGACGATGGTCCCGCTTGTAGTAGCAGCTTCACTCTCAATGGAAAGCCCTTTCTTCGTGCCCTTTTTCGGTCCCTGGAAGTCGGCCTTGGTACTGACTATGACACCTTCTTTGCCCTCTCCCTCCTTATCGCCATCAAGCAGAATGGAGGTGAGGCTATTTCCTTTTTTCTTCGGAATCCTCAAATTACGGCACGTCTAATGGGTTGGAACGTCAGGTTTAAGCTTGTTTCAGCTATAGTGGGAGGACTTTCGCTGTAATTACATTAAAGTGCCTGTTGCAAACACTGTAGCTTCTATTTAACACATTCAGATGCCTGCTGGATTTCCTCGGCAGCGGTCGAAGTGGCCTAGATTACTTGTTTTAAAGTTATGTGATCAATATCGGTTGACTTTGGCATAGTTAAGCAAAAGTGGGTTTTCACTGAATTTGGCTAGCTTACAAAAATGGGCATGAAGACACTTCTTCTCCCCCTCCCATTTCCTCACCTTTGAGACGTTTGGCAGGATTCGCTTTGGCCATTACTCCTAGCCTCGTCTTCAATGGGAAGTGAAATTTTTATTAGAATGTGGCAGAAGTTGTAAGAATGCAATTTATATTCACGACTTTGAAGTACTGCTTTTCTAAGCAAAGATTATGATGACAATAATCTGCATTGCATTGACATTTATTTCACTTTTCCTTTGCCCCTCTTCGCAATCACATTCAATAGCTGTTTCTCCGTGCTTTAATTCCCCTTCCTCCGTTCTCACAACTGTGATTGTAGCTGCGTCGATATCTCTGTGACATCATAATAGCCATTTGTGCAACTTGTGGTCCTTTTATAGACAGGCGCTTCTTCCTCGTTGTCTATCTCAACGGAGGCAACTTTATGCTTGAAGTATATCGCCTCCAGATTTGGTGACCTCTGCCCATTAGGCTTAAATCTGTTTACTCAAACTCGTGACGAGTTTGCGTAAATGGTCTTTTTCCCGGCGTGTTTTTAAATGCGCTTTTGCCTGCACAAGTCTTGCAATATGGAAGGAGGCTTGACATTTTTTTACGCATAAAATTGAACAAATACCGTGCGATTGTTGCTTATCTTTGCTGTGATGAATAGGTGTGAAGGTGTAGAGCCCCATTTTCCTACAATTTTTGACCTCTTGTGAATGAAGTGTGTCTCAGCCTCGTTATGGTGAGGTGGGGTGATCTGCAACACTGCCCACAGCACTTTTTAGTTGTTGTCTGCGTACGCGATATCATCAGTTAAATCTGTACAGCTTATCTAAAGGTGTTCTGCTCTCAAATAGGCCTCTTTCTTTCTCTTATTCCCCACTAGCTGCGAAACATGGACAAGCAAGATCTAAAGCCTCTGATTGTGGTGTGCCATTTCTTTCCGTTTCTCCTCTTCCCCTTGCTAACCCTTTTGTGGCACTGTTTTATTTTGGCATTTCTCCACACCCTTTTAGCCATGTATAATACGTTAACGTGCATCACCTCTAATTTGGCACGATTGCCATCCATCACCTGCCTTTCTTACAGCTGTCTAGTGCATTTATTTGCATTTGTTGGTAGGTCTGGACGAGGACACTCTGGCTTTGGCTCAATTGCACACCCCCACATCGGTAAGATTCAAGTTAGTATCTAATTGGATGACTATTTACATCATTGAATAGTTCCTGGGACCCGAAGAAACTAAGTAAGCAGCATTTCGGCGCCCTAAGTCAGTATTGGGCACTCTTCATTTGAAAAGCTAGAGACACACATGGTCAGTATAGGTACTGACGGCCTGGTAGACCATTTCGCCAAGTTGACGGCTAAATATGCCGAAGGATGTGTGTCTCCGTGACAATCGTCATTAGTGGTCGACAGTCTTGTGTCACTGTCCACCATGAACATTAAGTCGTTTTGGCTCTCCATCGCGGTG